TTCTACTTTCCTGCTACGCCTCAATGAAACTTTATCAAAGACATCAGAGGAGCAAACGTCAACTTGATCTTCAAGCGGTAATTAACAGTTTGAAGAACTCCGAGGACGTCATTCACCTAAGTGGGGGAGGAGTTAACACAATTGATCAGCAGAACGTAAATATTGAAGCTGACCATGCATTCTCAGCATAAATGCTTACGACACCAGCTGTCTCAAGCGGACATTGCACAACAGCGGAAGCGTCCACGCGCAACAATGTTGCTGACCAGCGACCTAGTACTGTATGCAATGCCAGCGTTTTCAGGGCTTAGGGCTAGCTTCTATTATAAGAACGATTGTCAAATAGAGTTAGTTGATTTTTGGAAATAAAGAACGTCGGTCATCGCCACGGAATTCACAAAGTCTTCTCATTTTTCGAATAAGTGTTAACGCCGATACTCCGTACGCGCTTAACATAATTTCGAAATCTTAAAATAAATAACTTGCACAGCTGCACAGCATGCATGTGCATAGAGAAGAGGGGCCGCTGGGCAGCCGGGGGCCGTCGCCTGTCGATCGAGCTGTTGACATACCCATAGAAAAATTGACATAAAATATCGTCTTTACATTATCCGCCAATGTCTGTCTGTAAATAATGATTGAATTGTGCAGCCTGAACTTTGGCCAACTGGTTGACAAACGCTGATATATAGAAACAAAAGAAAAAAGTCGAACAAGTTTTATATAATTAATAAATGCATTTACTAAATAACTCTGTAAACGAAAAATTCCCTAGAGTTTAAGCTTACATAACTATGAAACATAGGTTTAAAATAAAGTTTAAATTAAGGTTACGCCCAATTAGATATGTAAGTAACAAAATAAAATATATCAATATTTATTAATATTTTATTTTAATATTTATGTTATTAATAAATAATACATAAAGTTTTCTAATTTTTTTATAATGTTTTCAGGTTTTTTTCTTTTAGTTATTATTTTTTTATTTTATTTTACTTATTTTTCCACTTCACTTTCAACCAAACTAACAATTTATGTGTTATTTTGCCCAACTGTCTAAATATAAATATATTCTTCTAGCTGACACTCCCATTAATATTATTCCAGCTTAACTTAAACTTGTTATCCAGAAATATACTCCAACAATTTATATGCAGATAAAGAAGTAAGAAAAAAAGACCACGACATTGCGCTAATTATGGCATTCCAAGGCTTAAGTGCCCGCAAATGCTTGAAGCCAACTTCAAGAGCTACGCACAGAGAATTCAAGAATAAAATCTTAAGAAACATGGAAAAAAATACAAAAGTCTTCGCATTATTGAGTATTTACTTTTTTTACAATTTGTTTTTAATACGCCTGGCAACAAAAGTGAAGGGTATAATAAATTGACAAGCTTTATCTGGCAATCTATATAGAGATATAAATTTTTGAGAGAAAGAAATACAACTTGTTACGGAATTTTTATTAATTAAGCAGCAAAAAAAAGCGTATAAAAATGTATGTTTAATATGTATATTTTTTGTATGTGTATATAATAATAATAAGTGCGTGGCAATTGAGTTTAGAGTTAAAAAAAAAAATAATTTGCGCAATGGCAAGAGCTTTGCCTAGCTGAATAAATGATTTTTTATGGTTTCAATTTTGAATTTAATGCAATTTCAATTTGGATTTATTTTTATTATTATTTTCTGTGTGTGTTTGTGTTACCCATGATTTTGTCTTTTTTTGAATGTCTTGCAAATCGAGAGCGACGCAGTTTACAGCTCACATTTGACAACGTCGAAGGTCAGGCGAATGCTCCCCAACTACATGCCATGACTCGACGCACAATTTTATTATACAAAAAAGTATATACATACATATATATGTATGTATATATATATATATATATATATATATAAAATATTAATCGGACAGGTGACAATAACAAGAGCAGCGGCGAACCACAATTTAACCCACTTGTGTGTAGCGTGTGTCGGCACAAACACAACACAAAAACTGAAAAAATGGAACACGCGCCATTGCCATGGAGCGCACATTGCGCATACGCACCGTCTGACGGCCGTTGGAATGGTTAGACACGGCGGCTGGCTTACACAGCTAAAACAAAAAACATGGACTAAAAACTAAAGCTAAGTACGTTAACTAACTAAGCAGCAGCTAGCAAACGGTAGCTGTTTGCTCAGCTTGTTAGCAAACAGTTTGTGTGTAAGTGCGTCGTCGCGTCGCGTCGCTCATAAATTGAATCAATTTGATTGAAGTCAGTTTTTTTCTTTTTGCCATTCAAGATTGTCAATTAAATTTTAATATATGAATTAACACACACAGACACAAAAACTAAAACACATTTACTGTATAACAAATGCTAGCTTGGAAATAATTAAATAAAAATTATTTTATTGCACTCCAATTATAAAATGAAAAAATTGAGTAAAGCGAAACTATTTGCTTTGGATAATATTATAAATATTAAATATTAATTTTATTCGAAAAATAATGCCTGCAAATAGCTTACGATTTATATATGTAACTAATTATACATAGAAATATCGTAGAGGCTGAACAAAGACCAAACCAAAGCTATGATCTGCACAGACGTGGCTAAGCTCCCGAGATTTTAAGTTTGCTTCTCCGGAAAGGAAATTACTTCTATTTATGTGCAACCATACACCAGTCGAGCAAGAGATGCGAGTAATTGGTGACTTGATGGGAACTCCTAGAATAAAACTCTCTAAGCTTTAGACTGGCTTAACTTAGCTTAGCTTAACTTTTTTTGAGCAGCTTCCATGAGTCAGGACGTTGAATTTTCATTCACATGTCACAGAGCAAATGGTGATATCAATAGGGTCTCTGCGTAGCCTGCTGGCAAATATTGATGGATCGAAGTGACTGCAGTAAAATTAAGATTCCCAATGTAAGCAACAAATGCAAGCCTAGTCTGAACGAAGTCTGAGCGGAGGCATTAAGAGTTAAAGTAAAATAAAAGCCGATGCTATTGGTGCAGAGAACAGCAGTTCTAAGCATAGCTTAAGCTTACAGCACAGCGTCTAAAGGTGCTGTGTCGGTGATAGCAACAGTGATACCACTCAACCTCAGTACACAAGAGCGCAAGAAGACGCGGGAAGAACTTTCTGTGCAGTCGGCAAAAGTCCTGCGATAGCAGACTCTAGCCTTTTGGAAGGTAAAGTGACGACCCGATTGATGCTGCTTAAAAACTAAAAAAAATGCAGAAATTGTATATTTTATTTATAATATTCGTTAACATTAACAACTGAGCATCAATATCTAGCAGTCATTATCATGAGTATTACTTAATATTACAAATATTACACTCATGCCTTAGCTCATTGAGTTAGTCGGAAATGTCACTTCAAATGCATGACACAAATATTCATATTCGATATTCTAGTATGTAGATTAAAAGTTGATTTAGTCTTGAGCGTTGCCAAGTGCTCTTCCTCGTCGTCAGGTGCACAGCTTTTATGTTCAATGATACGTATTGAAGAGATTCATTAATAAACTGAGCTCATGCCTAACTATAGCTGAGAATTCCCTTTCACTTATCAATTCACACGCTGCAGCAGCAATATATATATTTAATATATATATATATGTATAGATATATATCTTGATATATCTAATGCAATTTGGCCACAACAAGTCACTCGTACATCTCAATCGATGCGTACGTGATTCTGGCCTTAATTAACTGCACTTGGCCAAGCAAATAATTGTTGTGGCCCACTGACGAGGCTCATATCATGGCTTTGACTTTGGCTTCGGCTTTGACTTTGACTTTGGTAATGAAATTGCAATGTATTCATTATGCAGGCCCTTCATGCAAGAATGCTTCACAACTGAAGGATCTTTACATTTTTCTGCTTTACAAAACTGATCAATAAATAATGAAATGATTCATTGACAGCCTAAAGACCGGCAGCTGCTCGCTGCACATTTATTGGCTGCACAATTAATTAAACACTAAAACCGCAAGGTAATTGCGAATAAATTGCATAGGCAAAAAGGTAAAATAATACTTGTGAGACATGTTATAAAAATAAAACTTAATATAAATATCTTTTTTTTTGTGTGTGAAAAAAATATTTTTTAAAGTGTTCGAATTATATTAATTTAAATTGGAATTTTTGTTATAGTCTAATTTAAAATTCTTTTGTTGCGAATTCAAATTTATTTCTGAATATATAATTAAATTCAGATCAAAATAGTATTATGTCATAGTATCGTTGGAGATGTAGGAAGCTGACTAGTATACACAATAATTTTGTAATACAGATTTATTTTATTTATCTTTGAAAAATTTTATAAATTTTTTTTAGATTAACAGTATTTCTTTGCAATCTAAAAAATAAATTAAATTAAATTAAAACAAGCATACAACAAGACATACGCTGAAAAGAAAAAATTAACCTAAAATTAAAAAGTTGATAAAGTTAACGTAAAAGTTTAAGGCTGTTAAATATAGAACATAAATAAAAGTGAACAACAGTACAATATTTATTTAAATACAACTTGAATTAATTCTTAGTTGATTCTTTTAGTTTTCAAAAATATTTGTTTAACAAAGTTGTATATGTATTTACTTTTTTGCAAATATTATTTTTTAGACTTAAGTTTAGAATTTAACATTATGTTAAAATACCTAAAATCATAAGAAATAAAGAGAATTAAGCATAACGTTTTATGTTTTCCCCTTTTTTGTTAACTTTCATATTAAAGCAGACCCTAAAAGTATGCAACAATTTATGGTAGCGGCCCAAACAAGTATGTTGCCTAAGTCTTTTGTTTTACCAAACAGTTTGAGAGCAACAAAAAGGCAGATACAGTTTGAAGCGCTAAAAATTAAAACTAGTTTAAACGTACAAATAGTGCTATAGCTAGAAATTATATAAATTTAATTATAATTAAATCACAAGACAAATACATAAACTAATAAAACTTAAATTTATAAAAATTAAATTAAAAAATTAAATTAGATAATTCAAAAATTTTCTGGCTTTTCGTGCATTTGTGATAAATCTCTAATATCCAGATTGTTTTCAATGGGAAACAGCTCGAATAATTCTTCAGCTGTGAGCTGCGCCGGCAGCTGCTCCTCGTAGCTGCGCCCGAACACACGCAAATTATATAGCAGAAATTCATATAGATACATGCGCTCCGGCTTCGTATAATGAAAAGCAATGGAATAATTCGAACAGCAGTCGTTGCCCTGCAGAATGATAACAAATATATGTAATGTATGTACATATTTATATATATCTATAGAAAGCTACTACAATTTCAAGTAGAGCACATACTGTGGCTATCTGTGAGACGCTCATCTCTCGCAACCAGTCCGGTATGCTGACATTGGAGTTGAACAAATATTTTGCAACATCCAGCGGAAAAAACTTTGGTTTCTGCTCTGCGGGCAATGCGCGCTTGGAGTCTATCAAGTGCACGCCCACATTCTGCAGGCAAATGCCCATATAGAAGTCCTCAATGCCCGTTTTCTTCGCTGCTGGACAGATTTTGGCCGAGCTATAGGCTTCACTCATAAAGCGCCGCAGTGCCTCGCGACTAAGCACATAGGAAGCGCCGCCAGACATGTAACTCTAGCCGAGAAACAATTTAATATCTAATATATTATAATACTATAAAGCGTAATCTTTCACCTTGTCTTACTACTATAAGACCAAAAGTAAATAAATAAATGAATTCTTAATTACCAAAACCCAACTTAGTACAGAGATGAATTTGTGAATGAACATCAAAGGGTCTTTACAGTTATAGTTTTAGAAGATAGCCCAATTGGGTTATCCAAGAAATGTCAACACTTTATAAACCGACTCTTTTTTGAGTCTCTAGATTCAATGATACTCTGACCGTACTTTTTCAAAAAATGTATATATTATATATTGATTTTATGAATGAGTATACATATATAAATGAGTATATAAATATAAATATAAATATATATAAAAATATAAATTTTCTTAATTAAATAATACTTAAATCATTATTATTGTTTTAATTATTATAAATATTTACAAATTCAATAAACACAGCTCTCAAATTCGAACCAGGAATTAAATGCATTAAATCTAACATAAATATATATTTAGATGGAAAAGTGCAAATATATGTAATATCAATAAATATTTATAAATGTATAGCTATTTCAAATAATTTGCTTAATAATAAAAAAAAAACTTAAATAAGCAACAAAAAATTACTTCAGCCTGAACTCATATATTTACATACAACTTCATAGACAGAGCTTAAGTAGTGGTATATTCAATTTTTGACTCAAGATCATACATAATTAGAAATATTTGTATAATATTATAAAACAAACTAAGACTAGTTTCATTGATAAGAAATCAAAACTCAATATAAAAATTAATTTTATACACTCATCACACATAGACATTCCATGACTTTTGACCACGCCCACATTTGTAAAATTTCATAATACAAATATATAACAAAAATATGCATTAAAATCATGTTAGTACAAGCGATTAGCTATGCTATAGGCTCTTAGCATCTTCGCCGATCAAGCGTAACAATTACAACTTCAACTTGGGGATTTTAAGCCGCTTTGAAGGCCATTTGAACGTCTGCTACCTAATTGAATGGATGATGTGTCAAAAATACAAGTTTAATTGAAATGTGAACACAATTTCGTATGTTCAGTTTTTGGTTGTTGCTTAAATTCCCATACAGAAATCTATATAGCGACCTATAGCTGACCTTTTTCTAATAATTTTGTGTGCATCTGTCGAAAAATTTCTATTTCGACATAGAGCTGGCCATTAACTGATTTAACATATGCTAATTGGGCTGTCTGATAGACAAAAGCCAAAATAATATTTAAAAAAAAAATACACACAGCAACTTAAGCATCGTTATAAATCAAAGGAAAATTTGAAAACCTATCAAAAGTTAACGTGTCTTTAAGCAATTATCAAATGCTGCTTGGCAAACACAAAAATCTTGTTATTACCTGGAAATGGGTTAAGAGGGTATAATGTTTCTGCTTAACTCTATGTATCTGTAGAAGGCGTGGCTGATCCGTATATATACTTAAATATTCATAAAATCGATTAAAATCGGGTTTTGGGTATTGTTAGCTCTCTATCGAGTCTCTCGTCAAATATTGCATAACTATGCTGTGAAAAAAAAACTTTCTTAGGGTATTTTTATTGTCGTGCACTGCCGACTGGAGAACTCTTACCTGCTTGGTTTTTGCAGCAATTTATTAAAACCTTGCCACCTGCTGAGTGGTGAACTTGGGCTTAACTTGTCTCAATAGTTATAATAGCTTTATTCTGTTTTGCCAGTTTGATTATGAAATAGAAATAAATCAATGCGAATGGTTTAATTCGATAGTAAATTAGTCGTAATAATTTAATAGCTCAGACAGGTGAGAAATAACAATTTATGAAGTCTATAATATGCTGAACACCTGACCCACTGCCTAGCTGCCCTCTTTCAATCTTTTGCAGCTCTTTCGAAAAAACTAAATTTTAAAAATAAATTAGAAATTAGAAATAATTTTTATTATTTTATGTTTTTCTTTTATGTTTGAATATTAATGTTTCTTTTGTATCTTCATAAAATTGTTTAATATTTGCTAATAGTTTGTAGTATTTTTATTACCATTACCATTTGCAATTTATATGTCTTGTCTATGTGCTTAAGATCCATCCACATGGTGACTACAAAGCGCTCACAATTACCACCTATTGGCCAACAGTTTGTACCTTGCCAGCAAAAGCTTTGCACAATAATGTCAAATGGCAAAATAAATAACGAAAAAACAAACAAAGCTTGAAAGCAGCAACCATAGATGCGTCTGTAGCGAAATGACAAAAAACCTCAGCGGCCTCACGAGTACAAAAACAAGAAGAAGACGAAGAAGGAGAAGCAGAAGAGCAGTGAACATAGTTGAGGCAGTGCATCAACATTTGATTGACTGCTGCCCGTTGCCATTTGTATTGCAGATGCTTACGATTTCATTAATCATTATTTGAAGTAAATAAAAATATAAATGTTTTTCGTATGCGCAGCGAGTGCCAAGGCTTCAGTGATAAAGACCTAACAGAGAAGTTCTCTTTAATTAGCTAGCCAATTAAACGAGCATCGACAGAAATTGTTATTTAAACGCAGCTAGAGTTGATAACCGGTTAGTCAGGCCAACAAATTGATTATTGTTTAATAAAACTTTGAATTTTGCATGGCCATAACAACATTTCGCTATCCCAAAAATATGACTTAAAAAATTTCTATTTCATTTATAAATATGCAGTAACTTAAATACCCTTACTTATGCATAAACTGATCGAACTTGAAAAATAAAAAATTAATATAAGTAAATATATACGCTTAAAATATATATAAAAATTATTAAATTAATGAATGTTATTTTTTTAATATATTTTAATTTTTATTAGCAACTAAACAAATGTGAAAACTTAAATATTATAAATATATTATATTCAAAAAAAAAAAAAAGAAAACAATTTCTAACTATTCTTTAAATAATTCCATAATCTGTTTTGAAACATTTCAAAATATTTTATTTTCTGGTTTTGCCACAAATATTTAAAGGTCTTGAGTGACAGAAACAAGATAGAAAAAATTGTTAAATTCCCCAACGAGCTGAAGCTTTGTACCATATATTTCGCCGACAATAAAGATTATATGCCACATTAATCGCAAGCATAGAGAAAGGCGAGTTTCGAGCAATTTGTTAAGTGAAATATGTGTTTTGTCGCCCCAAGCCAAAAATGCATGTCAATTTATCTAAGATCCTATAATTTAATTAGGAATTCAGAAGTTGACGCTCGAGATGACAGAGAAGAAATATTTTTTTAGAATATTTTGAATGAATTAATTAGCATGCCAAAGCTAAGTGCAGCTATACGAAATGACTCATAGATGTAATTCGAGACTTACCACATTATAGCGTCTCATCTGATAGCCAAAATATATGGGCATATCGGGGTCATAGGCGCTGAGCATATGACGCAGATTTTCCATAATCACATAGCTAAAAGAACAACAAAAGGTAAGTAATGACAGGTATGTGATTATAAAGAATAAGAAGTGCAGTAAAAGAAAGCCTTAATAATGAAATCAAATGGGCTTCCACAATAAATTAGATAAATACTTTTGTTTAGCAAGATAAACAAAAGAAATAAATTACGTTTCAATCGAATTTAAAAAAAGCTATAAAAAACTTGTGGAGCAAAATTTGTTCTTCGAAATAATGACATAATAAAAACTTGATAAAAACCTAGCCTTGATAAACCGAATATAAAATACTCTTGTAGCTATATGTTATGGGCAAAGAATATCCCAAACATATTTAAAAAATCAAAATTTTCCTATAAAAACTGAATTTTTTAAAGTTCATTCAACACTAATTGAGTTTATTTCAGTATTTATTTTTGGAATATATATTATTATGGAATAAATGTTAGTAAAAATTGCATTATTTATATAGAGGAATCTTTAGCGTTGGAAATGCGGCACGGCCACTTAACAAATTTTTTTGGTAAACATTTACGCTTGTATATATTAATCACAATTCACTTTCGCTTAACAAACGTATTTTTCGTGCCTGCATAATCGACACACGCTCATCTCTAGCTGTACTCACGTATCATCGTCGGCCTTGAGAAACCAATCGTATTGCGCGCCATATTCTAGCCAGACATATCGAAAACCCTCTCGTGTTTTATTCCACAAATCTTCATAGTTGCCGCCGTCAGAGTCGACCACCTGAACGACGCCCAACGGTTCGTAGTTCTCGCTGCTAACGAAGATTAGCTTGTTGCAGCGTTGACCCCATGTGGCGTATACGTGCTGGGCATAGCGCTCCACATAGTCCGGACAGGTGAGTACCATGCAGAGCACACGAATCGCAGGTGATAAATCTGCTGAAAATCTATTCATCGCCCTAGAGGAGGTGTAGTCGCTGCTACCACTGCTACTGCTGCTGGTTGGCCAACAGCTGATGCCATTGTGTACATCGTAAATGAAGAGAAGCAACATAAAAGCGCAAACGAATCCCGTTATGAAGCCGGTCAACAGATGTAGCTGACCGCGCAGTTGCCACGATCTCAGCTTAGCCATTGTTTTGTCCGCGTTATGTTCTGGCCGACGCGACGTGTAAGCTGCGATTGCTGCAGTCGCGTTTAATTTTGCAGCAGCAAAAAAACATCATTTAACACACAAAACAATGAAGCAAAACAAACGACCGGTTTGATGGTACGCATTGCCCGCGCTCGTCTGTGTGACCATATATGCATAATATTATAACCTCAATCAAGAGATGATATCTTCAATAATTTTGTCAGGTGGCAACGACACCGAACTGCTTGCTTAAGCTGACAGTTCTAGTTCAGCTGGATGGTGTTTTGAATAAGCTCAAAGGTTCCTTATGAATTTATGAACTACGTTGCTCGTTCTTGTCACTAGTTCAGTAGTTCGTGCACACTTTTTAGGTGTATTGGTAACTTATTCATTCATAAGCGCTTTAAAGCTCAATAGAACATTTAAAAATATAAATATATTACTGATATAAATAAAATAATTACAGATAAGCTTCACTAGTCAATTGAACTTAGTGCCCATTCCATAGCAAAACAGAATATTCTTCAATTGTTCTGCTGGCCACTCAGTATGACCGTATATAATTACTCTGAAATAGCATATTTATTGTTCAAATGCATTTGATTATATGTGTAATTAGCTTATTAGGTGGCAACACTAGCGATGAGCTCTTTTCGCCAATTCCAAATGAATTCAAGTCTTGATCAATTGTTGTTTCCATCAGCTAATTGGATGTCGCGCAGTTCTGTCTTCATTTATTGCCATTTCACATTGACGGCCAGACGAATAATTGTTAAACGCTTACGCAGCATAAATGATGTGCAGACACAAAATACAAAAAAACGAAAGTATAATCACCCCATTGATGAGCATGATATTGTATAACGGTAAATGATATATATACATATATGAAGTAATATGTCGAGCAGTGTAGTATAAAAGCTTTGAGCTACATCAATTCAAAGTGCAGTTAGCTGACAATTTGTGAGCACAAGCAAACGAAAGATCACGAAAAAATTAATTTAAAATGGATTTTAAGGTTAGTTTTGAATTTGAAGGAAATGTTTTTTAGTTTAAACGTATTCCTTGCAGTTGCTGCTACTCGTTTTTGCGCTAATTGGAACTATCCAAGCGGAGTACGTCTACAACAACAACAACAACAACAATGGAAAACTAAGCTTAAATGAAATCAACTCATTGGAGCAGCCTGCGTCCAACTCTGGCGAGGAATATCAAACCAATTATCAGACTACGCGCACGAATGCTGAAAATTCCCAGGCAACGCCCACTGGCTACGATTATAATGGCCAGCTGGAGAATGGCGATGCCAAGGTGTTACAAGCTGTGACCCATGGAGCGAGTGGAGGAGCTCCTCTATTCCCACAGCCGCTGCCAGTGCTGCACGAGCCGAGGCAACCGGAAATCTTTCCACCTGCCAGCTACAGCTTTGACTATGCCGTGAATGATGAAACCACGGGCGATATTAAGGATCATCGGGAGACACGCGATGGCTACGTAGTGCGCGGCTCCTATAGCCTCATCGATCCAGATGGCTACAAGAGAACCGTTACCTATACGGCGGACGATGTGCACGGCTTCAATGCAATTGTCAATCGGGTGCCCATTGTCCTGAAGAAACTGGCCATAGCTCCAACCAATGTGTTGCTCGACGAACGTTCCCCCGTTGTCCAGGCCTCAACGGAGGCAACTGCTACTAAAACCTTGGACAATTCATTGAAAGCGATCACTGCCGATAGTTATGTGAATGCGGCGAAATCTCGTGACACGAGCAGCGGCATATATGAGTAGATCGGAAATTGTCTGATGTGCAGGAATTAGCTATTATATTAATATTATTTTTATCCATTAAATTTGAGTGAAAGATAAAATAATTTTTTTTAATATTTTATTTAATATAATATTTTAATTTTATTTTCAAAATTTCAGTTTTTTAGCTGTTAGTTTTTGCTCGTTTTGACTTTTCGATTTTATCAATTGCATACTTTTAGGATGTCGATAATAATCGATATGAAACTCAAACTAAGACTTTTTAAACAGAATGATTTTTAATATTTTTGCACATTATACATTTATCTTAAGATTTCCATACATTATGCCTTTTTCTACGATATTTTATCCAGTATGATAAATAGTCTAAGGTTCAAAAGAGAAAACCACACTTAAGGCATAATCATGGCTTGAATTTAAAGCAGCCCAGTGGAATGCCAGCAAATAAAGAAAACAACAATAAGAAGTATGAAACACAGAAATGAAGCATTTATACCTGTTTTTCGGGTTCTGGAGAGAACAGGAAATCATACATCTATATATATTAAAATATATTAAAAACTATCGTATGCTGTATGAATTATATCTTTAGCATCTTTAAAATAATAAATAAATTACCAACAATATATGAAACAAATTATGCAAATTAAATTTTTTTTTTACAAGAAACCTAATTTAAATTATTTTTACCTTTAACTTATATAATTAATTAATTTATTTATTAAATATTTAAATTACCTCTAATATTTATTTAAAATAATATTTTTAAATTATAAATTATAATTAACATCTTTATTCACCTAAGTCAACACACTGTGCGTGTGGCCCTTGACTAACTGTTACTTCCAATAACACGGCCATCGCTTGCTCATCACACTTACCGCCCGGTTGCACATCTCTAGCTTTTGCCATTATGGTCACACTGCCTCGCAAATCAAGTGTCGTTTGGATCGAAGCGCGCACGTAAAAAACCAACAAAGAAGCAATAACAAAGACAGCAGAAAAAACAGCTCGCAAGTCTGTCAACGATCGTCAAGGCGTTAAGTCGACGTCGCGCTGCGCCGTGTTGTTTATATGTTAGTGACATTTATGTTGTTTGTATTACTTTTGACTTTTTTTATATATTCTTTACGTGTGTGCCTGCTGCGACTCTCTTCAAGTAAATAAACAAAACGAAACGGAACGAGCGACGCATAATTGAGCGCGCGCTCCCCACCCCCTCGCTCGATCTCTCTGTCTCTCTCTCTCACACTTACACTCTTTCTCGCGCTGCGGCAGAGGAGCCAGCGATTTGTGACGGTGGCCTACAGTTAAAGCAAATGAAAAAGAAGAAGACGCAAACCGGCAAACAGCTAGCAAAAGTTTAACAATTTAGCAATTGCAAATCGAATTAAGCCGAAAAAAGAGGTGCAACGCTGCCTGGGTAGAGCGAACCTGGCCTGAAGGTCAACCGCATCTTACAAGTTTTTTTATTAAACTTTTTTTTTGGCTTTTGCGTTTACGGCTGCTGCGTCAGTGCACAAGAATGTGTTAATTTGGTATTTCAACAATCACAACAACAATCAGACGCATAGGCCGCAACAACAACATCCCGTCGTCGGCATCTACATAAACATAAACATTATATTTGCATAAAAGTTAAACAAAACAGAAAAGCAAAGCCAATGCAACTCCATGTCGACTATCCAATACTCTTTTCCAGTGTTGCAAACAGCTCTAAGAGTGCAGAGTGAGTGAATGGGCGTTGGCAATCAAAAGTTTTGCTTAACTTGTGTGTCTAAGAGCCTGTGTAGAGTTGGTATATCACTGCGCATAAGCCCTGTGGCTCTGAAACTGTGAAAGTAGATGCGATACGAGGAATTATTGTAACTCCGAAAATGCAAAGCTTATGCAATTCTTTATCGGTGGCTCTAGAACTGTGAAGTACTGATGTATGAGAGAGCATTGTTACTGTGACTTTAAAACTGGGAAGTGTTGCTGTTCCTTAATGAGCTTTGTGACTCTAATACTGAGCAAACTTTTTGCTAATTTTAATCGCTCACCTGTACGGCTATGAATCTATTCGAACTTCAGAACGTATAAATTTTAACAGCATTTCAGTTATGCCATAAATGCAATTCAGGAACCGTCAAACTATGATTTAAAAATTATGATAAATTTGTTTTATTTTATTTGTTTGATATGAAACTAATAAATCAGATCTATCAAGTGCAGCAGCTTTAAAACTGTGCCTTTCAAAGTGTGCTTGAATCTGTGCCTCTAAAACTGCACTTTAAAAGTAATTCAATTTGGGAATCTTTAAAAGTTGTTTGACTATGGTTTAATAAAGTCAATTCAGTAGCTTCAAAACTGCGTCTGTCAAACTGTTCTAAGATCTAACTCGAACTCGAAGAGATTTAGTTTGGGACTCTAAAACTGTAACATTTAAATGAAGAAAATTAAATTATATAAAACGGCTCTTTGTATTATTGGAAAAGGTAAAAAATAAAAGCCCAAAATTGAATAATCCTAAAACTGTAAATTGAGAGCAATGACTTTCAAACTTAAGATAGGGAAATTACTTGAATTACTTTATGCTATACAATTAAAAAATAAATTGCAGTGTTTCTAAAATCATTAATTGATATATGTGACTGTCAAACTTTTATTAAATACAGATTTAATACATGTGATACGGAGGCTTAAAGCATTGACATTGACACAATAGTGTGAATGACTGCAAAACTGTGACTACAACTTTTGTTCAAACCTAAGCTTTCAATGTTTACAAAGTAATTGAATACATTGTTTACAGTGGTTGTCCAACTGTACCGTGCTCATTTCTATACAAAGCTAACATAATCTCTCTCTGTCTCTCTCTCTCTCTCTCTTCTCTTTACGAACATAGCGCATAAAACGGTAATAAAAGCCAACATACCGTTAGCCAAGCAAGAAAAAAATGTATATATATTTCGTTAAGCTGCAAAAGCAGCGACTGCAGCTGCTGTTGATGCTGCTGCTGGGCCTCATCTGTGGCAGCTGTTTGTCGCGCCTATTGCAGCTGGCGCGTCACGAATTCTACAGCGACAGCAGCGCATCAGCTGATTCCGTTGAGCTTTACACCGGCAGCAGCAGCAGCAGAGAGGCTGCTGCTGCTCTTTACAATTTGCGGCAAGCTTCAAATTATAATCCGACTAAGCGTATACTCTGCATGATTACGGTGCGCCCGCTTAAGCAGAAGCGCCAGGTGCACATTGAGCACACCTGGGGCAAGCGCTGCCACAAGCTGCTCTTCCTCAACTCCAAGCATAAGAATAAGAAACCTTTTTTCAACCTGTCGATGAGGCGCAATCACACCAGCAGCAGCAGCAGCAGCAGCAGCAGCAACAGCAGCAGCTCATGGGGTCGCACGCGCGAATATCTGCATTACGTCTATACGCATTATCACAAGCAATACGACTGGTTCCTCATGGTGACTGACGAAACGTATGTAGCGTGGAGAGTCGGCATATCTATAATGCTAATCTTTTGGCATATTTACCCCTAGCTATGTGATCATGGAGAATCTGGAACACTTGCTGCTTGACTACTTACCCGAGATGCCCGTCTACTTTGATAGCTTTGCATATGAGTTTACGAAAAATGTGAGTGGATTAAGAAATATCTTAGTTAAGCTAAGACATATCATATATCTGTCTATATAGATATACTATGATATATGCATTTACTTCCAGTTGAATCATTGCTTGCCAATCAGATAGCTTCTTATCACGCTTATTAGATCTAGATTAGATTAGATATACAAAATTAGATTTCATAGTTTTGTGCAAGGTGAAAAATCTATTCTAAATATAGAGTAGAGTCTGTTCTTGCTCAGGGTAATGAGCTGAGTCAACTTTAGCCTCTACACCTCTGCCTGTGTATATAGCCATATATGCATATAGCCATCCGGCTGTCTATCGTTATTAACATATTAATCTCACTAGAAGAGCTAGTAAATTGGGATTTTAAACATTTTTCATTTACTTCAACTCATTCTCTTATAATTGTAAGCCAATAATCGGCATAGACTGTGCCTTAATTATTTGCCAGGCATCACTTCAAGATCATTTAAATTAGAGGCTCCAGACTAGAGCATAACTATTTATATAATAATATATAATCAAATAATTTAATCTTATTACAAATCTTAAAAGTATTTTTGTTATACCTTCTATAGACAAGTTTGAAAATATATATTTAATTTATAATTTAAAAATAATATCACACAAGCTTTTCATAAAGGAAATTGCATATTTATGCTTATAGGTTTGTAAATAGTTGTATAAATATATTTATATATTTATGTATATCTTTATAATATCCAGTGCAAGTTGGAAACTTTCTGCTCTTTCTTATTGGAAATATATTGAAAAAATAGTCAATTGATATTTTTATATAAATATATAAAATAGTTATTTATCATAGACAATAATCGGTTAATATTACGTACTTAAGAAATATTCATTTATAATAAACTTTACATATTTAATATATTTTTAAGTCAAGAATTTTTTACTAAACATATTTTACATTAAGTTTATAGACCTAAAATGCAATTTATTTTTTAAAAATCTTAACTTTAACTTAAAATATAGTAATCATATAATTATATATATTATGGTATAGCAACAATAAAAATATTATTTATAATCTTATTAAATTTATGCATGATTAAAAGAGTGCTTAAAGGCCTTAAGTTTCAAATTCATATACAATATTAATTCAAGAATTATTATAATGAATATTTAACAATGATTTTATTTTTATAAAAAAAGATAAAAATATAATTTGTTTTACATAATGCTTGAAATATTTAGCTGAACTTAAAATTTTGCCTATAACAAATTCTAAATAAATATATTATAAATAAATATATATATATTTTTTTTTTTTTTGTCTTATATATAATTATTTTAAATATAATTTTTTATTTAGAATTTGTTATAGGTAAAATTTTAAGTTCAGCTTAATATATATATATAAAGATATTTAATATATAAGTTCTTATGGCAAGCATTTTCAATTACAATTATGCACAGTTAACTCAAATTTTCTTTTCAATATAATTTCTTATAATTCTCAGCAGCATATAAGAACAGGATCTGGCGGCAATTTATTTAGTAAGGAGGCGCTGCATCGTTTTGTGACTCTGGGCCATGATAATAGTACCATTTGCAGCAGTCACAATTATGGCATTAAGCATGTGGAAATTGCACGTTGTTTTCGCAATGTGGGCGTGGCCGTGGGCAACAGTAGCGATGAGCAAGGCCTGCCGCTCTTCGTGAACAAGCTAACGAATGTAGGTCAACTGAAGCACATTAAAATAATAATATTAAATATTTATATAAATTCTTATAAATTTGCAGATTACACTCGGCTGCTGTTCGAAGTCAGCAATAACATTTAACTGTCCTGATATGTTTTGTTTTTATATAATGGAATATATCGTTTATAAATTACGTCCGTTTGGCTTGAGTTGAACGAATGAAAATTTCAAGTAAAGGACTGCAGAAAACTTTGCCAAAGACATAGCCTCATTTAAAACTGTCTTCATTAAGCATACATAAATAGAACATAACATATATTGTAAAACTCTCTAGAAATAGCTAACAGAAAACCTATAAATAAATGTGTACATACAAACTTAAATTTTTGTTAGTTTTCTGTTTTAAATTTACACTCTTCCATATCTAGCTAAATGCCACCAAGACTACAATTGGCCAGCGGCTCGTGACCCAGTATGATGCCATATGGACGCATTTTGTATAGAAAGTATTCATAGATAAACATCTGATAGTAGACCACATAATGTATTGCTATGATATAGGATGAACAGCATTCAATGCCCTAGAACAGTGGTTTTATTACATAAAAATAATACAGTGTATTAACGATTAAAGGACATACCTTCTTCAACGTATAGTACATATAACTAAATATCCAAAACTTATTATCTATAATTCCGGGAACTAGAAATTTGGGCAATCCAAGTGGAAGAAAACGATGTCGCTGAAAATCATCTCGAGAATCGCCAGCAACAACATTCAATTTGTTTAAACACCGTCCCAGTTCGTAGTCCTCTGCGCCAGTTGACTTTCGATTGCAGAGATTGTTATCGATTCCATTTTCGACCAGGCAACGCACCGCTGCTCGGCTAAGCACATACCCAGAACCGCCCGACATATAGATCGGTTCTCTGTTGTCCGACTGGAAACTGCATCCAAAGTAAATGGGCTGGTCGGCGCTTTGGGCATACAGCATATAACGCATATTATCAATGATGGCATAGGTATCGTCATCGATCTTATAGAACCAATCCGCTTCGTGCAAATGGTGTGTGTAGACGTGCCTAAATGCCGCCTTCGTCTTGCCCCACAAATGCTTATAGCCTTCGCTCACATTCAAAGCAACGGTGTAAACATCCTCAAAGTTCTGATTCCTCGGCATTTGGGTGCTGAATACAATTAGCTTGTTGCAGTGACGCGCCCAGGTTTTGCGTATGGTACCCACAACTTGCTCGTATTTGTGTGGATAGGTGAACACCATGCAGAGAATGCGCACATGCTTGTAAAGCTGGTTTCTAACGGTATCATTGACAGCTAGCGCAGGCTGTTGCATTACAGATGCTTCAGGCAGGGCGGGCATGCCATTCACATAGCCATACGGACGTAAATGATAGAGCATGAAGTCCAGCATATAAAGCTGATCGAGATCGACGTAGGGTAAAATAATAGGCATTTCCATGGCACTATCGAAGTCCTGTGGGACAAATAAGGAGGTAAGGCATAAATGAAAACATATTTAACATATACTCACCTTGTTGGAATAGACGAATTGATATATAAATGGCCAGTTCCAAAAGTAAGAGCGCAGTGCAAAGGGCAAAATCTCGGGGGGCACTTGAAATGGATAGAGCTGCTCATTGGGGCCCTGTTCCATGTCTGCAAGGTAGTTTGTTGATCTCAACACCTGCTGCAGTGCACTGCGACTGAATATATAATCTGTGGTATCTTTCAAACTGACATGGGCATACAGATAGGCAGCATGAAAGGCGCTGAAGTAAATCTTTCGATCTGCCTGATAACTAGCCAGCTGGTATCGCAAGTTCTCCATAATCACATAGCTATCCACATGCACATGCAACAGCCAATCCAAGTCGTCATAGTGCTTCCTGGCAATAAGTCGATATGCGTCGATAACACGCGGCGCCTCGCTGATGTGCACTTGGTTGCAGCGGGTTCCCCAAGTTCTTAGGATGTGTTGTGCTTTGACGCGCTCACGGTCGCTGGTGAAGTGCAGCAGGCAGTGTATACGTACCTTATGGTATAGCTTATTGGCAATGCTGCGATTGTCCCACGTCTCGTTTCGGTTGCCCACATTGACTTCTCGAATGCTCTCTTTATAGGGCGTATCAAGATAGTCCTTTATGGCAATGCCGGATGTACTAAATGCAAATAGGTATAACTCCAAGAGAATGAACCAAACAAAGCAACAAATAAGTAATGCCAAGACCGTGTGGCCTAATAAACGCTTTAAACTTTGCATCAGCATTTTAAAATTATTTTATTTGTACAAATGTCAAATCAGTTATGTTATAACGTTGCCAGACTGGTAAAGTAAGTGGAATTTGACTTTATTACTCATTCCCTGGTTTCAAAAGTCAATAGAGCTACCAGATTGTTCAATTGAGTTACACTGTTACTCATTTACTCGTTTAAACATTTTGTTCGCTGGCGCTGCCATATTACTGTACTGATATTTTAAATGAGCTTTAAACAATTTACAAATGTGTTAAGTATAACAGAAAACTAAAGTCTTTCCTTATATTACGCTTTCGGAATTCGTTGATTTTGTTGAGAACTAATCTCGCTTCGATAATTGTCGCTTCGATCTTTTGATCGTGTTTATTGATTGCGGTTCCTTTAAACTTTTCAACGCGCCAATAACGTAATACAAGTAAAAGTGAAATATACATATACTGAAGTGCCCGACAATGAGATTTCCTAAATAATTTTATGATTATTGTAAACATAACTAAGAGTGCAAGCACACACACATAAGCACGCGGTCCGCTGCGGTCGCATGCGTTTGTGCCAAAAATGAATTATTGAATAACTTTTGCTTTACATGCACTTTATTATTGCAATTTTCGGATCATAATTATGATATATTAATGTTTGCATTTTCTGAAGCCCAATTCTCTGCGAAATACTCATAGTCCCTATAATCATCAAAGTGTCCTAGTGAGTCTCTAGCTCTTATAGTCTTTACAAATGAAGTCGTATCGATTGGTATCGATAATAAAAAATAGAGATGGGTAAGTACGAAAGTATATAGATAAAAGTGCATTGATTGAAATTATTATGTTATTTTAAAAGATAAATGAAATGTGCAAAGTTTATAATTTAAGAATTTCAAAATTATATTTAACTTTACAGGTTAACTCCTTTTAAAATTGTATAAGTATCATGAAGTCGACTGCAACATTTTTAATTGTTTTAATTTTAAATATATCTTGTCATTTATTTCTGTTTTTTTTTTTTGTATCAACTTTTACTCTAATTCATAAATTCATAAATTTATGTATTTTTTATCAATATCCTATAAATTTTCAAAATATTTTCATTCATAACAAAATTGAACCTCATATTTACTAGCTAGCCACCAATTGTGTCAATATAGATGTGTTTATCTAACAACTGGGTAAGTGTATTTATTCGTATCGATAATTAATCGCGCATTACATGTTTTAAGTACATAAGAATGTTTAATTTTAAGTATTATATTTCTATTTTCTAGTCATATTCGTTATATACATTTTCGAGGCGCTTTATTTCTCTTCGCAGCTTTTTAATTTTTCTCACCATTCGCAAATTTCCTACCGCTTTCATTTGAGCTAACTTCTCTTGAATCCGGTTCGTTTGAATTCATTGTCACTGCAGGTGTATATAATCTATCATAGTCATCCACAGAGTCCTCATTGCTGTTGGCGGGTTCTTCCTTGGGCGGCGACATCAATTCACCCACTTTTAGTTTGGCGGGCAATTGCTGCGATCGCTCCACACCAAAAGGTTTCAGATGATAGATCAAATAGTCCAGAACATACATGAAGTTGGGAGCGACATAGTGGAAGGATATTGCATTATCCGAACAACAATCCAGGCCCTAAAAGAGATTTGTATATATAAGAAGAAGCCAATTGAATTTCAACGCAAAAACTCACATCGTCTGTTTTGTAATACTGATAGTTCCAATACCAAAAATTTGGATCTTTATTGGGTATTAACATTTGCTCCGGTACAAAAGGAAACATGCGACCACGCCCATTCACATCACGAGAATCGCCAGCTGTCACGTTAAGATTCTCCATGCATTTGCCAATTTCAATATCCTCGTTAATAACGGTGCCCGGCAGACACATCTTGGGATCGGGTATGCCATCGACCACAAACCGTCGCAGCGCCTCCTTGCTGAGCACATAGCCAGCTCCGCCCGACATATAGCCCTGCTTAACAAAGGTCTTGAACTTGAAGCCAAAGTGAACGGGCGTCTCTGGACTATAGGGATATAGCATATATCGTAGATTCTCGATTACTGCATAGGTATCGTCGTCAGCCTTGTAGAACCAGTCGGCGTCGTTGTAATGATGCTTGTAGACATACTTGAAGGCCTCCTTCACCTTGCGCCACAGATTCGGTCGACCTTCTTCCACATCCAACTTGACTGTGGGCAGCTCCTCATCTGCTGCAGAGCTCATGAACAGCAGAATGTTACAGCGTTTGCCCCACGTCCGTTTCACATGTCGGGCTTTCTTCTTATGGTTGCTGGGATTGGTCATCACCCAGCAGAGCACACGCACCTCCCGCTTCAGCTGATCAGATAATGAGGTGTTATCGAATGGATGTTCGTGTTCAATCACCCCTAAATTTGGTATTCCAACATCGTTGGTCAATTGCTGTTTAGGCGACGCAGTGCTGGCTACGATATTTTTCGGATTAATATCTTCCGATATAGTCATATAAGATATAAGCTCAGCGATACAAAATCCAATTAGCAGTCCAATAAGAAGGGTCAATAACGAACGTGTTTTACTTGTATTTCCTGAAATATTGCTCTTTCAATTGTTTTTGAATATTTTACTTGAGGTTTGAGCTTGTTACCTTCATATAAAATGGAATGTCCAGCCATTTTCATGACTATTAACTTATTAACTTTTTATTAAATATTTTTTAAAATTAATTCAACTTTTTTTTTAAATTATGTATATTTAATTTATTTTATTTATATAAACAATTTTGCTTTATTAACTTTTATTTGAGTAGTTTTATTTCATTTTAGAATTTATTCTAGAACACCTTATTTCACTTTACACTTTAATAACAGAAGTGAACCGAAGTATTTCGGGCTATCGACCCAACTAAGCGCTCATAATGAGAGTTATATGAGATATAGTTGTCAATAGATAGCTGCATTAGACAACACCTGTGAGAACACCGTGAAAAACTGTCACTCTTTTATCAAACAATGTGTTTTATCTCGTGTCTATTTACTTATTTCTTATTTCGCTCTATGCTTCGCAATGTTGTTCAGCATCTCAATAAGAACTCCAAGTCTATATCAACAGAACATAAAGATAGAATATCATTAAATGATAACTTAGATAACAAACAGCCAAAAATAGTTATCAACTCAATTCTTTATTGCCCATTCGTCTGTAACATTTATTTTGGACTGAAATTCCTTGCTGCTGAAAGTGTCGAAGGCATCAAGTTGCAGCGGCGCTGAGTAAAGTTTAATTAATAAAATTGTCACAATTAAGCCTACGACGAACGTAAAGATTTTACGATGTGCTAAAAATTTGTGATATTTAATTAAATAATTTGAATTTGCTTCTATTATGATTCAGTACCTGGTCGAAGTAACAAACGTGATGTCGTCATTACGAACCTTTAGCTATCACTGGGAATTTCAGAAATATTTCACATGCGACATATTCCTAAAGATCAAAACACTTGGGTCAATATGAGGAAAATGTGGTATTATCAATTGTCTGTGTTAATTCTTCGTTTATTTTTGTTTATTATATTGCACAGTTTTGTCGTTTGCTTAATTATTACAGAATCCATTGATGTAAAGTTTTTAATTTATCTGATCTAAGCACGAGCAAGAAAATAATGCGACTAACTGAGAAATATTAAGTGGGCGTCACATTCTCAAGCCAAGAAATGTTTGTTTAAACAATGACTGAGGCCAAGAGCGAAAGATAATAATAAAGGAGAGATAAGAAGAAGAAGATGCGCAAATGAGCACATAATAATAATTGACCTAAAAACATAAACAGTCATAAGCTGCTCATACAAAGTCGTATGTCTCAGCAGTTGTATAGATAAAGATAGTTTATGTCTTTTGGAATTTGAATTTGTAAAGTCAGGCGAGGGCGAGTATCTATCTCTATCTCTATCTCTATCTCTATCTCTATCTCTATCTCTATCTCTATCTCTATCTCTATCTCTATCTCTATCTCTATCTCTATCTCTATCTCTATCTCTATCTCTATCTCTATCTCTATCTCTATCTCTATCTCTATCCTATCTCTATCTCTATCTCTATCTCTAGCTCTATCTCTATCTCTATCTCTATCTCTATCTCTATCTCTATCTCTATCTCTATCTATCTTCTATCTCTATCTCTATCTCTATCTCTATCTCTATCTCTATCTCTATCTCTATCTATCCTATCTCTATCTCTATCTCTATCTCTATCTCTATCTCTATCTCTATCTCTATCTCTATCTCTATCTCTATCTCTCTATCTCTAACTCTTCTCTATCTTCTATCTCTATCTCTATCTCTATCTCTATCTCTATCATCTATCTCTATCTCTATCTCTATCTCTATCTCTATCTCATCCTCTATCTCTATCTCTATCTCTAGCTCTATCTCTATCTCTTCTCTATCTCTATCTCTATCTCTATCTCCTATCTCTATCTCTATCTCTACTCTATCTCTATCTCTATCCTATCTCTATCTCTATCTCTATCTCTATCTCGAATCTCTATTCTATCTCTATCTCTATCTCTATCTCTATCTCTATCTCTATCTCTATCTCTATCCTTCTATCTCTATCTGATCCATCCCTCTATCTCTATCTCCTATCTCTATCTCTATCTCTATCTCTAATCTCTATCCTCTATCTCTACTCATCTCTATCTCTATCTCTATCTCTATCTCTAATCTCTATCTCTATCTCTATCTCTATCGTCTATCTCTATCTCTATCGCTATCTCTATCTCTAATCTCTATCTCTACTCTATCTCTATCTCTATCTCTATCGTCTATACTCTATCTCTGATCTCTAGCTCTATCTCTATCTCTATCCTTCTCTATCTTATCTCTATCTCTATCTCTATCTCTATCTCTATCTCTATCTATCTCTATCTCTATCTCTATCTCTATCTCTATCCTATCTCTATCTTATCTCTATCTCTATCTCTATCTCTATCTCTATCTCTATCTCTATCTCTATCTCCTAATCTCTATCTCTCCATCTCTATCTCTATCCTATCTCTATCTCTATCTCTATCTCTAATCTCTAATCTCTATCTCTAATCTCTATCGCTATCTCTATCTCTATCTCTATCTCTATCTCTATCTCTATCTCTATCTCTATCTCTATCTCTATCTCTATCTCTACTCTATCTCTATCTCTATCTCTATCTCTATCTCTATCCTATCTCTATCTTCTATCTCTATCTCTATCTCTATCTCTATCTCTATCTCTATCTCTATCTCTATCTCTATCTCTATCTCTATCTCTATCTCTATCTCTATCTCTATCTACTATCTCTATCTTCTATCTCTATCTCTATCTCTATCTCTATCTTCTATCTCTATCTCTATCTTCTATCTCTATCTTCTATCTCTATCTCTATCTCTATCTCTATCTCTATCTCTATCTCTATCTCATCTCTATCTCTATCTCTATCTCTATCTCTATCTCTACTTCTATCTCTATCTCTTATCTTCTATCTCTATCTCTATCTCTATCTCTATCTCTATCTCTATCTCTATCTCTATCTCTTCTATCTCTAAATCTCTATCTCATCCTATCTCTATCTCTAATCTCTATCTCTATATCTATCTCTATCTCTATCTCTATCTCCTACTCTATCTCTATCTCTATCTCTCTCTATTCTCTATCTCTATCTCTATCTCTATCTCTATCCTCTATATCTATCTATCTCTATCCTATCTCTATCTCTATGCTCTAATCTCTATCTCTAGCTCTATCCTCTATCTCTATCTCTATCGCTATCTCTATCTCTAATCTTATCTCTATCTCTATCTCATCTCTATCCCTATCGCTATCTCTATCTCTTCACTACACTATCTCGATCTCTATCTCTATCTCTATCTCTATCTCTATCTCTATCTCTATCTCTATCTCTATCTCTATCTCTATCTCTATCTCTATCTTATCTCATCTCTAATCTCTATCTCTATCTAGCTCTACTCTATCTCTATCTCTAGCTCTATCTCTATCTCTATCTCGAAATCTCTATCTCTATCTCTATCTCTATCTCTATCTCTATCTCTATCTCCTCTATCTCTATCTCTATCTCTATCTCTATCTCTATCTCTATCTCTATCTCTATCTCTATCTCTATCTCTATCTCTATCTCTATCTTCTCTATCTCTATCTCTAGCTCTATCTCTATCTCTATCTCTATCTCTATCTCTATCTCTATCTCTATCTCTATCTTCTATCTCTATCCTCTATCTCTATCTCTATCTCTATCTCTATCTCTATCTCTATCTCTCATCTCTATCTCTATCTCTATCTCTATCTCTATCTCTATCTCTATCTCTATCTCTATCTCTATCTCTATCTCTATCTCTATCTCTATCTCTATCTCTATCTCTATCTCTATCTCTATCTCTATCTCTATCTCTATCTCTATCTCTATCTCTATCTCTATCTCTATCTCTATCTCTATCCTCTATCTCTATCTCTATCTCTATCTCTATCTCTATCTCTATCTCTATCTCTATCTCTATCCTATCTCTATCTCTATCTCTATCTCTATCTCTATCTCTATCTCTATCTCTATCTCTATCTCTATCTCTATCTCTATCTCTATCTCTATCTCTATCTCTATCTCTATCCTATCTCTATCTCTACTCTATCTCTATCTCTATCTCTACTACTCTATCTCTATCTCTATCTCTATCTCTATCTCTATCTCTATCTCTATCTCTATCTCTATCTCTATCTCTATCTCTAATCTCTATCTCTATCTCGATCTCTATCTCTATCTCTATCTCTAGCTCTATCTCTATCTCTATCTCTATCATCTCTATCTCTATCTCTATCTCTATCTCTATCCTATCTCTATCTCTAATCTATCTCTATCTCTATCTCTATCTCTATTATCTCTATCTCTATCTCTATCTCTATCTCTATCTCTATCTCTATCTCTATCTCTATCTCTATCTCTATCTCTATCTCTATCTCTATCTCTATCTCTATCTCTATCTCTATCTCCTATATCTCTATCTCTATCTCTATCTCTATCTCTATCTCTATCTCTATCTCTATCTCTATCTCTATCTCTATCTCTATCTCTATCTCTATCTCTATCTCTATCTCTATCTCTATCTCTATCTCTATCCTCTATCTCTACTATCTCTATCTCTATCTCTATCTCTATCTCTATCTCTATCTCTATCTCTATCTCTATCTCTATCTCTATCTCTATCTCTATCTCTATCTCTATCTCTATCTCTATCTCTATCTCTATCTCTATCTCTATCTCTATCTCTATCTCTATCTCTATCTCTAATCTCTATCTCTATCTCTATCTCTATCGCTATCTCTATCTCTATCTCTATCTCTATCTCTATCTCTATCTCTATCTCTATCTCTATCTCTATCTCTATCTCTATCTCTATCTCTAGCTCTATCCTCTATCTCGATCTCTATCTAGCTCTATCTCTATCTCTATCTCTATCTCTATTCTACTCTATCTCATTATCTCTATCTCTATCCATCTCTATCTCTATCTCTATCTCTATCTCTATCTCTATCTCTATCTCTATCTCTATTCCTCTATCTCTATCATCTATCTCTAATCTCTAGCTCTATCTCTATCTTTCTATCTCTATCTCTAATCTCTATCTCTATCTCTATCTCTATCTCTATCTTCCTATCTCTATCTCTTATCTATCTCATATCACTC